TGGCCACGCCTCGCGGCGAGTCCGTGGGAATTCTCGGTGTCACCGGCACCGCTCGGGGGCTCTGGCCGATCTCCGAGGACGTCTGGGGGGGGCGACCTGTAGCCCCCCCGATGCCCCAAGACCGTGCGGTGTCGGGCGGGTGCCCATGGGGGCTGACCTCAAGTGACCGCCCACCAAAACACCCCTAACCCAGGTGATTTTAAACAATTCGTTGTTTTGCCGATTGGCGCGGGCCCCAACACACCCCCTGCCCCCCATGGAGTAGATCTTGGCCGTTTTTTGGAACCCGTTTCGAGTGGGTGGAGTCTCCCCCAGAGGCCGCAGTCTTGCAAACAGTCGCACTAAGCAGAGGTCTGGAGCCAACCCCCCCACCCCCCCTGGCCGCCCAATGTCGAAACGCCGAATAAGAAAACGCTCACCAACCCGAAGGCTTCGATTTGCCCTCCATTTCCAGTGGTGGTCGGGGAACATTGAAACACGTGTGGAGCCCGTACCCTCCCCAACCCGACATTCGGGTCTTCGTGTTCGGTTGGGGTGGCCTGGTAGGTAGTCATCAATGGGGTGTGAGAACAGTCGGCGGCGAGCGCGGGGGGGGGGGAAGTGCGGAAAAGAAAAAGGTTTTCTCAGAAGGCGGCGGGACTTCTCAGAAACCCTCGCGCCTTCCGAGAATTTGTTTCTGTGTCTTCGGGGAAGGCTCAGAAAACTTCTCAGAAGGCCGGGGGACTTCCGAGCCCTCTGAGAAGGCCTTCTCCTTCTCATTTCCCCCCCTCGCCCGCAGCCGACCGGTGGGGGGGTGAAAAACAGGGCCCTGAGCGGGGCCCTCCAGGGCCTCGTTCGGAGCCAGCAGGGGCCCAAAAGAGGCCCCCGAAGGGCCTCTCGAGGGCCCTTTCCTTCACCCCTCATGTCGGTCATCTCCCACTTGTACCGCCCGCGCGCCGGTGGCGGGCCTCGCGGTGACCCATGCCGTGCCCTCGGGCGGGCGCCGTCGCACGAGGAGGAAGGATGAGGAGGAGGAGGAGGAGGAGGTGGAGGAGGAGGAGAGTGAGGATGAGCAGGAGGGAGAGGAGGAGGAGGAGGAGGAGATGAGGAGGAGGAGGGAGGAGGAGGAGGAGGAGGAGGGAGGAGGAGGCGGAAGCGGTCAGCTGACGTCCCCCACAGGGCGCGCCCGAGGTCGCTTCCGTGCCGTCGGGCGGGGCCGCCTCGGCGCGCCCCCGCGCAGGCCGAGAACGGCGCCGCGGACCAGCGCTTCGACGAGGCGCCGCGCCCCCTTCTTCACTTCGCGAGGGCTCCGGGGTCTCCTCCTCCTCCTCCTCCTCCTCCTCCTCTATCCTCCTCCTCCTCTATCCTCCACAATCCCTGGCCACCTCGACGAACCTCGCCGATCCTCGAGCCTCGACCCTCGAGGCTCGACGACCCTCGACGCCCCTCGACGCCCCTCGACGGCCTCTCGACGGCCTCTCGATGCTCGACGATCCCTCGAGCATGGACGACCCATCGGCGCCCCCCCGACCCTCGAAGACCCCTCGACACCTCCGAGGGCAGGGCGCCTTTTTTTTTGGGGGGGGGTCGGCGCGGGTCTGCGTCGTCACGAGGGAAGCGGGTGTCCTGATCGGCCACGCGCACAGGGTAGTATACACCTTAGGCGATGCTTAAGAACATTAAGTTTTCGGCCAGAGTCTCGATTATTCTTAACGTTTCAATGTAAATCTTCAGATTTTATGGAAAGGTTGGGTTTTTGTTCAAATTCTGAGACTGTGAATTTCTTAACCCATGATTTCTTAAGCATTTCGCAGGGTGTACAGTTAAATCGGGCACGTCCCTCTGCAGGAGGCATCTTCAAAGATATATTAAAACCATCAGGGGGCGATTTTTTAGGTATTTAGGGTAATTTTTGTGTATATGTTTTAGACCATTTTTCAGTTTCCTCCCGAAAGCCGCCTGTAGAGGGACATGCCCGACCTCAGAGTACAGTCGGCCCCGGTAGGGCGACCATGCCAAATCCAGGGTACCCTTGTGTCCTGTCCATCCCCCTCTTGCACGCCAGCCAATTAGCTAGCCTCTCGGTTGCCCAGAGCCGCCACAGGCTGGAGCGGACTGCCTCTGCCTCGCCGCCGACGAAACAACAGTCCTGTCCATCCCGACCTATGCAACCCGCGTGTCCTTGGGTGTTCTGGGGCCACGTTGCCGTCGGAAGAGTCTTGTGTCCTCTCGGGTGTCCTGCCCAATTAAGTCCGACCTGTAGGGGGAGGGGGGAAGGCTTCTTAGAAGCACCCCTGCTTCCTAGACGGCGCGGGCCTTGTCTATAATGTAGGGCCAGCGCCTTTCAAGAAGCAGCCTCCTTCTAAGAAGCCCCCCCCTCCCCCTACCCCCTCGTGCGCGCCGCCAACCGTAAGTCGGGCATGTCTCTCTACAGGAGGAATATTCAAACATAGTCAAACATAGTCTGGGGACGATTTGTCGAATGTTTGGGGACTATGTTTGATTTTGTGTGTGTGTGTGTGTGTGTGACAATTTTAATTTTTTTCGTTCATAATCCGCCTGTAGGAGGACATGCCCGACCTAACGCCAACCTGGGGAATCGGGTCCTGAGTTTTCTCGCTGTTTTTCGCCTCCTGGGACCGTCAGCAAACAAACGGCTCAGGATGAGCTGGTCCTGTGGGAAGGCCCCGGGATCCAGGGCTCGTTCTCTCCAGGACCCGTTTCCTTCATGATGGATGCGTCCTGCCTCAGCGCGCACGCGCGCACGTTTGGGATGCACCGTGCGACAGCCATGCCGGGCCTATGTCTGGAGGAGGAGGAGGAGGAGGAGGAGGAGGAGGAGGAGGAAGAGGAGGAGGAGCTCGTTATCGAAGACGCCTACGGCGAATCACCGCCGCAACCTGCTTTTTGGAATCGCCCATGTAGCCGAGCGTTGTGGCAAGAGCTGTGCCAAACTATCGGGCCATGTGCTTCCCCAGCCGTTGTGGAAACTCTTGGGGGACTTCTTAGGGGAGGATGGCGGGGAAGATCAGGAGGAGGAGGAGGAGGAGGAGGAGGAGGAGGAGGAGGAGGAGGAGGAGGAGGAGGAGGAGGAGGAGGTATCTTGGGAGCCTCTGGGGGCACTCTTGGGGCCTCCTGGCAGCTTCCTGGGCGCTTCCTGGGAGTCTCTTGGAGGCATCTTGGGGGCTTCTTTGGGCCTCTTGGGGGCCTTTGGGGGCTTCTCGGGGGCCTCTTTGACTGTCTTAGGGCGTTCCTGGCCCGTCTGACGCCGTCGGAAGCGTCTTGGGGGCCTCTCTGGGCCGTCATGGGGCCCTCTTGGGGTGCTCCAGGGCCGTCTCGGAGGCCATTTTGTGCGTCTTGGTGGCCTCTTGGGCCGTCTTGGACTGTCGTGTTGGCCATCTTGGAGGCCATCTTCGACCATCTTGAGCGAACTTGGGGGCCCTCTTGGGTCCGTCTTGGAGGCTTCTTGGGCTGTCATGCGGTCATCGTGGAGGTTTTTGGAGCCAAATTGGCGCGATTTTGAGAGCCTCTTGGGCCGTCTTGGGCCGTCGGAAGTCCGACAAAGGGACATGCCAACATCTTTGACAAACTTCAGGGATACCCATGATTGTGGCCTCTTCGGGCCCTCCTGGCTCTAGGGGTTGTCTTATTGGCCATGTTGGACCCTCTTGGGCCGTCTTGGAGGCGATCTTGGACCATCTTGGACGAACTTGTGGGGCCGTCTTGGAGGCTTCTTGAGCTGTCGTGTGGTCATCTTGGAGGCCTTTGGGGCCATCTTGGGGCGATCTTGGGGGCCTCGTGGGCCGTCGCGGGCTGTCGGAAGGCCGAAAAGAAACACATGCCAACATTTTTCACACACCAAGGGAAAACCAATGATTTTAGCTGTCGGGCCCTCCTGGAGGACTGGGGCGAACTTGGAGGCAACTTGGACCATCTTGGGCCATCTTGGAGGCTTCTTGGGCGGACTCGGATGCATCTTGGAGCCATATTGGGCCGTCTTGGTGGCTTCTTCGGCGAACTTGGAGGCAACTTGGACCATCTTGGAGGCCATCCTGGGCCAATGTGACCATCTTAGAAACCATCTTGAGCCGTCTTGGAGGTTTTTTTGTGGACGTTGTGCTCGTTTGGGGGCCTTTCGGGTGGCCGGCGGGACGGGCCGAGGCCCCAGCGGGAGTTCGTTTGTAAAAGAACCAGGACCAAATCGTGAGAAGTCTAGCCGGCCAGGCACCCCTGTGATACATCAACAGGGGGCGGGGGATTTCTAAGGCCCTGGCCGTTCGAGACGGCAGGATTGTGGGGAGGTCTACCAGCTAGGCGCAACATTGTACGGCGGACGCGACTGTGCTTTCCCAGTCGTCCTAAGCCAGCGCGAGGGCGCTGCATGCTGCGAACAAGTTTTTTGCGAACCTGAGAGACGGCATTTGTGGAGGCATCCTGCGGATATCCTCGGCGGAAAGCAAAACATTGGGGGACAGCGTGCGTTCCCCTCTCCGCCCCCCCCCCCCCGCAGTGGCTGCGGCCGCACGGGGGGCGGGGGGCGCGCGCCCCCTCCTCGCGCTCAGCAGGCAGGCGGCGGTGCTGGGCAGGTTGTGGCGGTAGCTACGCCCCTGGCATGCTGTGGGGTGCTCGCGCGCCTCCGTGGTGCTCGCGGGCACGGTGTGCTGCGCGCAGGCGCGCTGTCCAGGCGATCGCAGACATGGATCGCGAGCCACGTGTTCTCCACGCTCCTCTCTCCTCCTCCTTCTTCTCCTCCTTCTCCTCCTCCTCTAGTTCTAGGCCTCCCAAATTCAGGCGATTGGACGTCGCGGATTTCCGCCGCCGACCGAGGCGGCACCGGCCGCATTTTGGGGAGGGCACTTCCCCCGGTCTATGGATTTGGCGACCCCGCGCCAAATCCATGGATCGCTAGTCCATGTTTGCGCGCCCCCGAGTTTTGCTGCCCGCAGACATACTGCGGCGGCGGTGCCCTCCAGACCTGTGTTCGCCCTCGTGGCGCTCTGGTGCTCACAGGCACGCTGCTGGTGCTCGGAGGCATGCTGTGGCGTTTGCAGCACAGCGCGTCATTGCTGCGCCGGGGTTCGCGGGCTTTGGCGAAACTGAGTTGTTTCATCACTGGATCAGGTTCTTGAAGCTTCGCGTATCTACTGGCTCAATCAGGGCCCCAACGAGATGTACGGCCACCCTCTGCACATCGTCACCTTCTTACTCACCTTCCGCACTGCTCCCAGGGAGGACAAGACCCGGGCAAACGATGCGGAGCAAACCGGCAGGCTCGGGTTCTACCTACGGGCAAGAGCCGCCGCAATCGTGGCTCTCCCTGTATCGGACGCAGACGTCCACGTGATGCAGTTGCCCGACCCCGCAGTCATGATGAAGTCGCCGCCAGAGGGACTCCCGCCCCTCGACCTACCTGGCTTCACCCGTGAAGATGTGCTGAGCGCTACGGGCCACGTCTTCCAGCGGGCCAGGACCACTTCCTCCCAGGACACCCTGAGCAGTGGCGCCCGCAGACACGGCTTCAACTACAATGCCGTACGAGCCCATCCAGGCTACCGTGCAGCACCACGTGAGTGTCGTGCACGGCCCCCCCTGGCGCCGGGAAAAACAAATTCTCGGTATGCGCGCTCGACACCAGGGCAGGCACACTCATGCAGGGTCAGGCGGTGGCGCTCACGGCGGGCTCCAACACCGCTGCGGACCAGCCCGTGCACGCGCTGGTCACCGCCCACCAGCAGGGCCTCCTGGACGAGGACACGCGTTTCCCAGACCGTTTCGTACGCCTGGCAAGGGAGAGCCGAGTCGCCCCGTCCCTGGTACACCTGACCCTTGGCGGGCACTACAACTAGGCCATGGGTTCTTTCCCCTACCAGGATGGTGCAGCCTCGGCGGACTTCCCGCCTTTCCGAGTCGGCCTGCTGATAGAGGCCAATGGCATCGTGGCCACGCGCGAGGCTACCGAGGCCCTTGGGCAAAGCAGTGCAGCAAAGGTTACCCTACTCATCGTTGACGAAGCAGGCCAAACCGCTGAGCTCCACGCCGCCATGTCCCTGGTCAGTGTTATCAGGGGTGGGGGGCACCTCCTGCTGGTGGGCGACTCCAAGCAGCTACCGCCCAGTGTGATTTCTAAGCTCACCGCAGGCCTGGGCCTTTGCATCTCTATCTCTGACAGACTTCATCACGCCCTGATGGGGGCAGGAGTCAGCGGTCGTCCAGCTGGCGTTTTGCGACGGGGTGCACCCGCAGCTCCTGGCATGGCCGAACTGGGCCTTCTACAAC